AGCAAGTGATGCTGCAAATCCATTCGGTGGTCTGCGGTGCAACCGGACAGGGCGGCGGTGTTGGTGGCATCATGGTCGGCGCCATCGATGGCGGCGGCGGCGGTATGGCCTAGAGCATGGCCGAAGGTAGTGGCGGCGGTGAGGACACAACTCCATTGCAGTCAGTCGGGCATGCTGTCCTCGGTGACCAGACGTTCGAGACGGGCCCGCTCCTGCTGCTCACAAAGCAAGCGATGCTACAGATCTACAAGAAAGTTGTGAAAAATGACTATCACTTTTGGATAATAGTACTGAAAAAGTAGCTGATCGCACTAGAACAAAAAATGTCAAAAATTACGATCACTTTTAGTAATTAAAGTAGTCAACATTAGCTGGTCACACTACAAAAAGCTTGTGACAAATTATATGGTCACACTCTCTTGAAAGTCGTGAATAAGAGCTGCTCACGCTGCAAAAATTGAAATTTTTTAGAATTGCATACCTTTGGGGGTGAGGTGCAGCATACTTTTAGTGTGTACAATGAAATTGCAGATAATTTAATTCGCTAGCTGCTGCTAGCTATTTCCAATATTGGGGTTCCAATTACCTCTTTGCGGTTGCTGCGAATCCTCCGCCTTCATCTCGGTGGTCTGCGCGCGCTGCACCGCCTGCGAATGCAGGGGCGACACAAGAGGATCCTGAAGGAACGAACTAGCGGCTAGCTAGCTGCTTGTCGGGATCCTTGGGATCGCTACTCTACCTGCAGCACAACCTGCTGGACCACCCGATCGATCAGCAGCCAGTGCTCCGTGCAGTGACCAGTATCTGCGCATGAAGAGGGTTAAAATTAGCTCAGCTTAGGACAAGGACACTCAAGTAGTACTCACAGGACAGCAGAAGCATGTGCTGTTAGGGAGAGGATGTGAGAATAGGCGGGCAAATGGCTGAGCAGGGTGGTGCAGTTCTGGGCCCGTGACATAGCTGCATTGCAGCCACTCAGACCGGCCACCTTCTGGTCATCGTGTATGCTGCCTCCTTCTCCTGCATGCGCAGATCGAGCTCCTGCTCCTTCTTCGCAAGCCGAAACTGCACATCAAAATCCTCACGTTCAGGCTCATCAATACGCTTGCGTGCTTGCGTTAGTTGCTCCTCTTTGTTTAGCAGACGCACCAGCTAGCCCACATCGATTTGCAGAGGCGACACATCAGGATCCTGAACGGACGAACTTGCGACTAGCTTCAGCTGCTTGTTGGGATCCTCGGGATCGCTGCTCCACCTGCAGCACAACCTGCTGGACCACCCGATCGATCAGCAGCCAGTGCTCCGTGCAGTGACCAGTATCTGCGCATGAAGAGGGTTAAAATTAGCTCAGCTTAGGACAAGGACACTCAAGTAGTACTCACAGGACAGCAGAAGCATGTGCTGTTAGGGAGAGGATGTGAGAATAGGCGGGCAAATGGCTGAGCAGGGTGGTGCAGTTCTGGGCCCGTGACATAGCTGCATTGCAGCCACTCAGACCGGCCACCTTCTGGTCATCGTGTATGCTGCCTCCTTCTCCTGCATGCGCAGATCGAGCTCCTGCTCCTTCTTCGCAAGCCGAAACTGCACATCAAAATCCTCACGTTCAGGCTCATCAATACGCTTGCGTGCTTGCGTTAGTTGCTCCTCTTTGTTTAGCAGACGCACCAGCTAGCCCACATCGATTTGCAGAGGCGACACATCAGGATCCTGAACGGACGAACTTGCGACTAGCTTCAGCTGCTTGTTGGGATCCTCGGGATCGCTGCTCCACCTGCAGCACAACCTGCTGGACCACCCGATCGATCAGCAGCCAGTGCTCCGTGCAGTGACCAGTATCTGCGCATGAAAAGGGTTAAAATTAGCTCAGCTTAGGACAAGGACACTCAAGGAGTACTCACAGGACAACAGAAGCATGTGCTGCAGCAGGGAGAGCATCTGGGAATAGGCGGGCCAATGGCTGAGCAGGATGGTGCAGTTCTGGGCCCGCGACACAGCTCCATTGCAGCCAGTCAGACCGGCCACCTTCTGTTCATCGGGTAGGCTGACCTCGGTTACCAGACGCTCCAGACGGGCACGAATTATGTTGCTCGCTGAGCAAGTGATGCTGTAAATCCATTCGGTGGTCTGCGGTGCAACCGGACAGGGCGGCGGTGTTGGTGGCATCATGGTCGGCGCCATCGATGGCGGTGGCGGCGGTATGGCCTTGAGTATGGCCGAAGGTGGTGGCGGCGGTGGCGACACAGCTCCATTGCAGTCAGTCGGGTATGCTGTCCTCGGTGACCAGACGTTCGAGACGGGCCCGCTCCTGCTGCTCACAAAGGAGCGATGCTACAGATCTACAAGAAAGTTGTGAAAAATGATTTACTTTTGGATAAAAGTACTGAAAAAGTAGCTGATCGCACTAGAAAAAGATAAGTCGATCACTTTCAGTTTTTAAATATTATACATTAGTTGGTCACACTACAAAAGCTTGTTTAATATGATATGGTCACACTCTCTCTCACATGTTTGGAATTGCATACTTTTGGGGTGCGGTGCAGCATACTTTTAAGGTGTACAATGAATTTGGAGAAAATTTAATTCGCTTACTGCTGCTAGCTAATTTACAATATGAAGTTCTGTGCGGTTGGTTCGGAACATGGCTCAGACCAGGCTAAGTTTCAGCAAAATTCCGACAGGAGGCGCCCCTCAGGAGGAGGAACTATATATCGACGCATTTCCGCGAATTTATCGCATGTTGAAAAATCCAATTGAAACATATTTTTATCGGAACTATAGGGTTTTCAGTTATAATATTTCACAGGGTAGTGAGACCTTAGGTGCCTAACAATTTTGCATTAAAATCTCCATTTCGAAAAAAGGCGACATACGAAACTTTTGCGGAAATGTGTCGATATATATATTTATTTATTTATTTGATTTCTGGGTATTATAATTTCAGTCAGAAACTTAAAACGCAATGAACGAGCCATTTCCGACCCTATAAATCATATATATTCTTGATCAGCAGCCGCAGGCGAATCTTTCTAGCTATCTAATGCAGAAAATAAAATGTTCAAAATTATAAATTAAAAAAAAAGCAAAAAAGCAAAAACCCGTAAAAAATTTGAATTTTCTAAAATTTTAAATTGAGTATGCAGATTTATTAATCTACTAACAACTAACAATTGCAAATTGCGAGAGAATTTCGAAGTGTCCAAGTTATTTGCCTTTTTTTTAAAGAGCAATTATAGTAGATAGTTCAAGGAACCCATGGAAAGCGCTTCTATCAGCAAACCCAGAACATTGACGGCTTCAATGATGACTCGCTGACCAAGGGCAGCAGGAAGTAGATGAGAAGCACCTGGGTGCCGGCTTCGAGGCAGAGGCAACCTGCACCACAGAAGGTGCCACTAAGCCGGAAGGTTCTCCGTGTGCTACTGGGAAAGCGGACTAATCAAAGATGATGAAATAATCTTCTTATCTCTTGAAGGCATTGAGGCAGAGGTGACCAACACCACTGATGAAGGCATCAAGGGAGAAGATGCCACTGAAAGCAGACTGAAGAGGAGACAGCAGAGTCAATAACATATATAACATATATAAACTGTATAATCATAAATATTATTTTTAGAATAGTAAAATAAAAACAAGCTATTTTCAACTGCAAATTTTGTTATATTCAAATGCCGGGAAGCTCTGCAAGATTTTTCCGTCTTGGATATGCATCGGAAGGTCAAATTAATTGGTTGCGCGTCGCTCTCCGAGACTCGGTGTGGTTCCCCGCCACAATCCATTGCCACTGGGAACTATTCGATACACTTGCAGAAATATTGCCAAAATGTATAATTTATTCTTTGACTTAAACACATTATAATGTGTTAATTATTTTTTCTTAGTTACCTTATAGATTGGCCTTCATTTCAACTAAATAAATACATTTTTTTCCATGTTACCGAACCGTTTATGGGTAATCATCAATCAATCGTTGTACAACCCAGCGATGATTTATTGAGCTGATGGCGACTACTGCACAATCCCTTGATATGGACTCGATTTTTCGGTTGATTGATCGGGTCACCAGATGGGTTTTGTTTGAATCACACAAAATTAGCCATGGAAAGGATTAAGTAAGTATTGTAGGTGCTTTTTCAAAAATAAAACAAATGAAAAATGTTAGAGAGCTATCTCCGGCCACCTCCAAGGCCCCAAAGAATCCGTGTCGGGCAAATAATATTTGTTGTCAAATACTGTAGTTCGACGTGCATGGCCCCTTTGTTGAATTAAGTGTTCCATTGTCTGCTGCCTTTGAGCTTAGTTGCGCTCAGGGTTGTCAGGTTGCCAGGTGAGCGAACGGGGCTGTCACCAATCTATCCCTTGACCTATGGCCTCTCTACTCTCGTAATTTAATTCAATACCCTTTGTCTGTCGAAAGTGGGGTAGCTATGCGCCATGCTGGAGTCATTTCATACCCTTTCTGGTCTATTAATCTCAGTAAAAAGCATAAAACGACATGAAAGAGTCATTTTCATATATATTCTTGATCAACATCAATAGGCGAATTTCTCTAGACATCTCCGGCAAAAAAATGTTTCAAAATTTTCAATTGAAAAAGCAAAGGGGTTACATTTTTAAATTTGCAAAATTGACAAATATTTTAATATTCTAAAATGTTAATAGAGTAAGCAGATTTATTAAACTAATTAAAACTAACAGGAAACTATTTTTCGAATTGAAGTTAATGCATTTGTCGTAAAAATATTTATGAAAAATGGAATATTTAATTTCGATGTGCTCCCATAATTCAATTGCAAATTGGGAGAGAAATTCGGAGTGTCCAAGTTATTTCCCTTTTTGTTTAAAGAGCAGTTATAATAGATAGTTCTAGGAACCCATGGAAATTAATGTCAAACTGGTCACAACTGGTTGGATTCGAACATCAAAGGCTTTACAAATTTTCACCAGCACCGTTTTAATTTCAACTTAATTTCTTAAAGCGCTTCTATCAGCAAACCCAGAACATGGACGGCTTCAATGATGACATTCTGACCAAAGGGCAGCAGGAAGTAGATGAGAAGCACCTAGATGCCGGCTTCGAGGCAAAGGCAACCTGCACCACAGAAGGTGCCACTGAGCCGGAATTTAAAGGGAAGCCTGAAAAGGGAGGCAAGGTTCTCCGTTTGCTACTGGGCAAGCGTGCAAGCAAGCCCGGTTCCACCGATGAGGAGCTGGGTCTGAAGAAGAAAAAGCTAGAGGATAGCAAGACCCAGGATGTGGCTAATGCCGCTCCATTCGAAGAAGAAGGCGATGCATCCAACAAGAAGCAGGAGCAAGAGGCTTTCGACGTTACCAAGATGCCGCCGGGATCTCCAAAGGCTGGAGATGGCACTCCACAACACAAGGGTGTCTCCGGACTAATCAAAGATGATGAAATAGTCTACGAATCTCTTGAAGGCATTGAGGCAGAGGTGACCAACACTACTGATGAAGGCATCAAGGAAGAAGATGCCACTGAAGAGCAGACTGAAGAGGATACATCAGAGGGAGACAAGGATGATGAATCATTTTCGAAGTTGTTGAGGATTAGGCTTCAACAAACACAAATACTATTCACAAATATTAACAATCATAGCAACAATATTACAATCAATTTTCTTGTCCTTGGTGAAAACTTCTAATATTATTAATAAATAATATACTTTATGCTGCATTAGTTGATTTATTAAAAAAAAAAGTAGGTGGTTTTCGGTGGGTTTCCTGGCATCTTTGCGTCCTGATTCTTAACCGCTGCGACGGTTACGCCTGGTGTTCCTGTTCCTTCTTTCCCTGTTCCTGATCCTTCGCTCCCTCCTCCTCTCACGCCTCCTTCTCTCCCGCCGCCTCTCGGCCCGGTTGTTCCTTCTGCTGGACGAGGACGAGGACGAAGAAGGGGACGACGACGACGATGTGGTGGCCGGGCTGGCGGCGGGTGTTGCCGAGGGGAACTGGAGCTGGGAGAAGTGGATGTAGAGGACGAGCTGGGCGTTGAGGTTGAAGATGAAGAGGAGAAGTGGAGCTACTGGAGCTAGGCGAAGTCGAAGAGGAACTGGGCGAGGTTGAGGAGGAACTAGGTGAAGTCGAAGAGGAAGACGAGGATGAGGGATCCGACGAGGTGGTGCTCGAGGACGATGATGGGTCCGACGAAGTAGTCGAGGACGATGATGGGTCCGTCGAAGTAGTCGAGGACGATGATGGGTCCGTCGAAGCAGTAGAAGCTGGCGTAACACTGTTGGACAGAGCCAACAACAGCAGGCAGGAGAAGGCAGAAGAATCGCATCTTGCTGTGGAGCTTGGAAAACTCAAACTGTGATACTTTCCACAATCTCCACTAGGCTTATATATCCATCTAACCATCCATAGCCCCAGAATCCATCCCTCGAAGATTGGCTATGTTTGGCGTGGACAAACATTACCCTGATCTGTCGTCTGTCTGTCTGGGCTCCAATCTTTGGCATTGTTTTTCTTTTGTTCTTTATTTGCACAGCACACGCTTAGGAGCTTAGCATCCCAAAATAATACATACTATTTGCTAAACCCGATCCGGAGTTGATACTCAGTCCGTAATTAGAAATTGACAATGCCATGTTGTTTGTGACTTCTATAAGTTTGTTTTCAATGCGAGTCATGGAATATTACCTGACAGAACTCTCTGCTTAAAGAACTCTGACACCGTAAGGCGGATTTTCATCACGAATGAATAATAATATAGAGTAATATTAGAGAACGCCTGGGAATGGATTTCAAAGACTTTAGGTATTTTAAAACCACTCTGAAGACTTGAATCTTGAACAGCTTAAGAATAGCATCGTTTTTCCATTGATTGGTATCCCATAGTTGTAACCAAGTCTAGCCTAAGCTCGCTGCTTGAGCTGATACAGGGGCAACCCGGCAGATGATTCGATAATGGCACCCCATTATTCCAGAGACTCGACACACGCGAACCCGAGATGGAGAGACACGCTAGTCAGTGATCATCTAACCCTCTTGCCCCCGTAAAAGTCTAGGTTCTCTGAAACCTCTGTACGCGAACTACTTACTTCCTAAGTTACTCACTCTGATTGACATAGTGCCTCTCGTAACGTCGTCATGTTTGGATCGCTGCTAGTGGGTATTGTTTCGTACTGGGCGTGGTGTATGCCTTCCTGGTGTCCACCTTTGGGCACTGGCGCCGGCGTGGTGTTCTGGAGCCGCGTGCCCTGCCGCTTCTGGGCTCCTTTCCCAATATCATCTGGCCAAGGCAGCACTTTACCATGGATATGCGTGATCTTTACATGTAATAAACAAAAGCAGAATCATAATCAACAGTAATCCAAACTTAATTCCATCACCTTTAGGCAATACCGGACAGGAGAGTTACCTGGGTGCTATCTGCTGCGTTCCCCAAGCTGCTTGTTTTGGAGCCGCGGCTCATCTGCGAGATCTTTGTTAGCGCCTTTCGTCATTTCGAGGACAATGACGCCTCCCGTGGTGGACACCTCCAAGGATCGACTGATCGCTCTCAATCCTTTTGCTGGAGGGCGATGAGTGGGTCGCAACGGGCAATATTCTCCACATTGCTGACCAACGGACGCATCCGCACCACAATGCCATCATGCAGCGCGTCTGCCAGGATCTCTGTGACTTCATCCTGCGAAAGGCGCCCAGCGGCGAGGATCTGGATGCAGTGGATGTAATATGATGTGCAGGAGGAGAGAACTTCTTCCCAGCTTGATCTATATTCTTTGTGTATACCCAGCTCGGTTGCGCTTTACGGGTGATCCCTTTCGACTGCGTCCTGGGCATCCAGGCGCGCACCTTCACCGATAGTCCTTTGCCGGTGATGCAGCATAACCAGGAAATGTCTGCCGAGAACCGGGGTCTGGCCATTGCCGGCGCGTTTGTGGCCTGTTTCCGAACTGCACGCCGCCTCGTCCAAGGTCTTCCCATGCTCCTTCGATCGTTTCTTTGGCGAATGATCAGCAAGGCTCTGCGCTGCGTCGTGCCCATCGGCAGGAGCGGAATGACTTCATCATCATCTGCTGGAGATGCAGCGGGAGCATGCCTCAGCGAGGAGGACATGGCCTCCCATGCCATGACCTTCATGTTCGATGGATTGGACACCACCTCCAACAGCATTGCACACTGTCTGCTGCTGGTGAGAAGCCTGGATGATGATTCAAGATTCCTTCCAGCATTGATTCCTATTTAAATCTGGTCTAGTTGGGACGATATCCGGAGTGCCAGCAGCGGCTGTTCGAGGAACTGCAGCAGGCGTGTGCCGGGAGACAGCTGCCAGATCTGGATGCGCTCATCGATCTGCCTTACCTGAGTGCCTGCTTTGATGGTAAGCCGAGACCAGGGAGCTCCAAATCCAAGCTAATCACAATCCTTTCCCTGCAGAAAGTATGCGCATCTATCCAGCCGCCGGCTGGGCCTCGAAGATCTGCACCCGGGAGTACGAGCTGCGAGGCAGTCATCATGGCGAACCCCTTAAGGTGCGACCCGGTGACAAGCTGATGATTCCCGTGTATGCTCTGCATCACGATCCGGACTACTATCCGGAGCCGGAGGTATTCCGACCGGAGCGGTTTCTGGACGGCGGCTTGAAGAGTTACAAGCAGCAGGGTGTGTTCTTTGCCTTCGGCAATGGGCCGAGGCAGTGCGTCGGCATGCGTCTGGGCCTGGCCCTGGCCAAGGCCGCTCTAGCGGCCATTGTGCAGCGCTTCCAGGTGCTGGTCAGTACGCGTACCTTGCCGGGCATCGAGCTGGATCCGCACATCTTCGTGGGTGTCCACAAGGGCGGCATCTGGTTGCAGTTTGTCGAAAGGTAGAAGGGGTATTAGGGCATAGGCCTAATATATGTATGTGTATATACTTTCCCAATTCGAGGTCGACCTTTGTCAGTGGGGAGATTCAATAAAAAATTAGAGTGGGTCTGGGCTACACGACTGCATTCAGCGATCAGCATTCATTTGGGGAATTATGTCATCGTTCGGTGTCCAAACAGTGGAGATTCATCAATGGGACACCGAAGACGCCGCAAATGCACTCATACGGCGTACACTTGAAGAAATAATGGATTTAAGCAAGGTATGAAA